TAGAGACGGGGTTTCACCGTGTTGACCAGGATGGTCTCGATCTCTTGACCTCGTGATCCACCCACCTCGGCCTCCCAAAGTGCTGGGATTACAGGCTTGAGCCACCGCGCCCGGCCCTGTCTGACTTTCAAAGTCAGAAATAACATTTTAAGAAAGAGAAAACCCAAGTTAAAACTATTCTTGCCTAAAATTTATATTTTATGAAATCTGTTTTCCTCGGCATGCATCTCCCTCATTCTTCCTCATTACTGTTAATGGTTTTAAAACCTAATGTATTGACATTATGTTTCATTCCATAGTTGATTGCAAGACAATTTAAGTTTCTGAAGATTTGTTTTAATTTTAAAAGTTTTTAATGAGATTTTCTAATTATGCTACAGAAAAAACTAAAATACACGTTAACTTTTGTGCATTTTGTCACTACCCTTTTGAATTTCTATGAGGTCTTTACTTTGGGGTCATTTGCAGGTCTTTTGGAAGATAAGCTTTAAGTATAGGTAGCTGTAGAAAAATGTCAAATTAAATTTGTTTGATAATATATTTTTCTGTGATAAACTATAACCTGTAATTTGCCATTTTAATCATTTTTAAGTGTACAATTCATTGAGATTAATTATGTTCACAGTGTTGTGCAACCACCACAAACCACTTTTTATTTCCAAAATTTTCTATCACTCCAGAGACTCTATATCCATGAAGTAATACCTCCCCATTCCTTCCTTCTCCATTCCGTGGTAACCTCTAATCTACCTTCTGTCGATGAATTTTTCTCTTCTAGATATTTCATACAAGTAGAATCATATAATATCTATCCTTTCGTGTCTGGCTTATTTCACTTATGTTTTCAAGGTTCATCCATGTTGTTACATGTGTCAGAACTTCATTCCATTTTATGACTGAACAATATTCCATTGTATGTATATACTATATCCATTCATCTATTGGTGGGCACTGGGTTATTTCCACTTTTTGGCTACTATGAATAATGTCGCTATGAACATTGGCATATAGTTATCTACTTGAGTCTTTGTTTTCTGTTCTTTTGGGTGTATACTTAGGTATGAAATTGCTGGGTCATATTTAAACTTTTTGAGGATCTGCCAAACTGTTTTTCACAGTGGCTGTACCATTTTACATTTCTACCAGCAATGTACTAGGGTTCCAGTTTTTCCACATCCTCACCAACACTGTTATTTTCCATTTATTTATTTGCCATCCTACTGGGTATGAAATGGTATCTCATTGTCATTTCAGCTTGCATTTACATAATGACTAATGATGTTGAGCATCTTTTTGTGTACTTAATGGCCATTTTTATATGTTTTTTGGATAAATGCCTATTCAAGTTTTTTGCCAATTACTGAATTGGGTGGTTTTTAGCTGCAGGAGTTTTAAATACATTCTACGTATTCAACCTTTATCAGATAAATGATTTGCAAATATTTTTCTCCCATTCTTTAGGTTGTCTTTTCCTTCTCTTGATAGTGTTCTTTGAAGGACAAAAGTTTTTAATTTTAACAAAGTCAAATTATCTAGTTTTTCTTTTGTTGGCTGTGTTTTTGATGTCATATTGAAACTATAATATATTTTAAAACGAATCTGTAACTTCTGCATTTAGAATTGTTGGTTGCATGACTGTATATACTTAGCAGTGCAAATATTGATCAAAGATGGAGTAAGAAAGCATATCTCCATTGAAAGCTTTGACACACTAAATAGTTTAATCTCTTTTTAGGTGAGAAATTGCAGTTTATATTCACTAATATTGACCCTAAGAATCCTGAGAGCCCATTTATGTTTTCTCTGCATCTAAATGAAGCAAGGGACTATGAAGGTATGTACTAACATCTCTTAACTGGTTTTTAAGATTGGCATCCCAAAATGTTATTTCAGTCAGAATATAAAGTAATATGGAGGAATTGCTTCCTTTTTTAGTCTTGCTTTTTGGTTCATGGTCTCCTAAAGGAAAAGAATATAGTCTTGATTTATAGATATTATCTGGGATCCTTAATAAATAGCACCTCTTCAGGATGGCACAGTGCCACAGTGCCTGGAAAACCTGAAAAGCAAAGATCATTGCATTCATGTGCAAATATGAATTGTCCTTTTAGATTACTTTTTAAAAAGCTGAAGCTTTAAAGAATATGGTTGCTTAAATGTGAGTATTAGAATTTATCCATGTAGATGATTTTAAAATCTAATATAAAGTCACCAGAATTTAATAATTTTTCCAAAAATATATTTTTGAAAAACTGTTTCATCCTGCAAGTCTCACACATTGATAATAAAGCTAGCTACTGATTCTGCAGCTGGCCGAAAGGCCTTCGATTTATAAGGAAAATATGTCATTGATAATAATGTGAACAAGAAGACAAAAGAGATATGTTTATCTCTTGTTTATTCTTCTAATGCCCCTGTGTAAGGAATCCTTAACTTATTGGAATTCATAAAATTGGTTCTCAGCTCATTACACCTATGCTATCATCTTATAGCCTTTGTAGGGGAAAGACACTCACATGAACTGCTGATATGGCACAGCACCGTGTCCTGGTGACTCAGTTCCTATTCCTAGGGAATTCATATTTTGAGAATCTAATTCATATACAGATGTTTGGGGTTTTTTTTCTCTCTAAGTAAATATCTTCCAATCCAGTTAATGCTAGATTTTAAAAAGCAAGCCCCGAAAACCTCTTACCTAGCTTTTCAATTTTCTCTAAATAATATATTCTTTTACGGTATAGTCTAATAGTTTATAAATAATACGTTAAAATAGAATATACAGGATATATTTTGGACCAGAGGCCCTTTGCTGTTGTTTCTCTGCTGTGGACATGGACCTTGTTTCCTCAGCAACCTGTACCAGAGAGCTGGAAATCTGATAATGGTTGAATTTCTTTTCCTTTGACCACCTTCACTGGAGACTTGTCCCAATGTACCAGCTGGTACAAGTACATATGAGGACAATACTGTTATTTGTGACTTTGAGTCTCATTTGATTAACAGACCTTGTAAATACCACTCTTGGAATAGCAACCACATTTTCTAATGCCTGCCATTTCACTTGGAAAATTCTAGATATTTCTTTCATAATTGTAAGTTATTAAGGATGGGCATTGAAAATTATTCCTTTTTCAGGCCAGGTGTGGTGGCTCACGCATGTAATCCCAGCACTTTGGGAGGCAGAGGTGGGTGGATCACTTGAGGTCAGGAGTTCAAGACCAGACTGGGCAACATGGCGAATCCCTGTCTCTACTAAAAATGCAAAAAATTAGGTGGGCATGTTGGCAGGTGCCTGTAATCCCAGCTAATCAGGAAACTGAGGCAAGAGAATTGCTTGAACCCAGGAGGTGGAGGTTGCAGTGAACTGAGATTGCACCATTCCACTGTACTCCCACCTTGGTGACAAATCAAGACTCTAAGAAAAAAAAATTGTTCTTTTTTTTAAAAAAATCCAGTGATCAGAAAAGAAAAGTCAGTCAGACCAAAGTTTTGCAGAAAAAAAAATGACTTAACAGTTAAAAAAAAAAAAACTCGTTTAAATAGTTAAAACTTATAGGTTTAAGATGATGGGCACTAAACTGTATCACTAAACTCTTCAATCCTTGATTGCCATCTGTTTAAATTTAAAGCAAGATTATAGTACTTAAGATTTGAATATTTAGAGATTAAACAAAGGAAGGGTCCAAAAGGTAGTTGGCATATGAAAATCAAGTGTATTCTTTTACACTCAAAGAATTTCATTAAAATAGAATTGACAGTCAAATCAAATGAGAGCATCTAATTTAGAAATGCTTCTCTGCCATAAAAAGTGTCATTCTAATTGTGTTTGATTTTTTTTTTCTAGTGTCAGATAGTGCCCCTCATCTTGAGTGCCTAGCAGAATTTCAAGAGAATGTAAGGAAGACCAACAATTTTTCAGCTTTTCTTGCCAATGTTCGGAAAGCTTTTACTGCCACGGTTTATAATTAATGTACAAATAGTGTATATTAAAACGGTTTATTTTTCTTCTCTGTTGTGTATCTCTTTTTAAAAGAATTCTCATTATCTGTTGTCTGCCTGTAATTCTTTGGTATTTCTGTAACATTTCATGTGGTTTACTTCTTTCAATCACAGTAGTCCATCCTTATCTACAGTTTTGCTTTCCACACTGTCACTTACTCATGGTTTCAGTTACCCCAGTCAACTGTGGTCCAAAAATATTAAATGGGTAGAGTGCAGTACAAGATATTTTGAGAGACAGAAAAAAACATTTCATATATATAACTTTTATTACAGCATATTGTTATAATTGTTCTATTTTATTATTAGTTATTGTGGTTAATCTCTTTCTGTGCCTAATTTATAAATTAAGCTTTATCATAGATATTTATATGTGGGGGAAAAACAGTTGATATAGGATTTGACACTGAGGTTTCAGACATCTACTGAGGGTCTTGGAACATCCCCCACAGATAAGGGAGAACTACTGTACTTTAATTAAAATCTTAGGGAAAAGTATAAAGTAAAATGTGTTCTTTTAAAAATGAAAGAAATTAATTTGCTACTTTTCTTTAAATGTCAAGCATGGGTAATTTATGGCTAGTACTGGGAATGGAAATTTGTTCAGCTGGCACTGTGTCTCAGTGGTCTCCAAGCTTTTAGACCACTTAATGTTAATATGAACTCTTAATATTAAAAAATTAAAAGGACTGGCCCAACCTAAGGCTGACAATTTTTTTTACATGTACTTGACAAAATAAATTCTATCATACTATCAATCTAATGTCAAAAAAAAAGAATATTTTTATCTTACATCAAGAGAGAGCTATAATTAGAATAAAGGACAATACTTCACATCAGAAGAAAGTTGGCAGCATTTTACTAGGATATATTTTTGAAAATCTAAATGTAGAAATTTATAAACAGTTTCCATTTTGTAATGTTTACCATTTAATTGTGGTTTGGATATAAGTTTGTGATCTTGGGGGTCTGTTCACCACAGAGTAGAGTTCAAATGGCAACTTATTCTAATTTTTTTTTTTTTTTTGTAATCTGTAAATTTGATGGCATTTAGGTATTCTGGCTAAAGTGGAAGCCACATAAATAATACTGTTTCAGTGTATCTTGAGCACACCTAAAAGCCATAGAACAATGGCTTCCATGCCTTCAGTTGCTTCTCCTGCCTTCTCCCTGAATAATCTGGAGAGGCAAGTTTGCACTTGTTGCCTCATTAGTGAGAGTAGGTTGGGAGTTTCAGAGTAGCCTCTCTCAGTGGCCGCTGCAGGGGCAGAATGATGTGATACTTTTCCTCATCCATCATAAGGGTCACAGCCAACACTCCTATAGCAAAAGACAGGTTAACAAGAGAAAAGCACAACAAATTTAATCCAGGTTTTATGATGAGAGCCTTCAGAAATGAAGACTCAAATATGCAGGGAAAACTGTGTTTTCATTCTTATGTCTGATGAAGAATGTACAATCACATAGAAACATGACTGGATAAATGGGTATGATCTAATGGTAATAAACTGAAGAAACCCACAGGGCTTATCTGCTCAGGTCTTTCTTGGTCTTTCTGTGTAGCTTTCCTTCTTCCTGGGTATGGGGCAGGACCCTTATCAAAGGATGGTCTTAAGACCTAGAAAGGTGGGGGAAAGTTGGAATAATATTTTCAGGTTTTATGACTTACTTTGGTTAAGAGTGGAGCAAGAAGCAGGAAGGTAGGAAAACGTCAGAGACCTTCATTCTGAGGCTGCTTTTGAGGCTTTCTTGTCTCTTACTCAGCATGCTAAAGCACCATACCTGGGGTATCATGTTCTGAGCCTCAGCACCATTCATACCTAGGACTTGGCTCAGGCTTTGCTCACTGTCACATAGTAGTAGAACTTATTTGAGAAGAGTGCTATGGCCTGGTGGAAATGTTGTCACTGACACGTGCTAGGGTGTAGACCAGCTTTCAGGGACCACTGATAGTATTTTCTCAGTAGAGATAAAAGGCTAATAAACTGCCCTGGTGATTGAAATGGGTGCTGCTAGCAATAGGCCTATCCTATTTCAGCATGGGTTTGTCTAAAGGGAGTATTTTAACAGAAGAGTACAATAAGCAAACTCCAGCTTTTCCTAGGCAGGCTTTCACATTTGGCTTTGTTTTTTATATACCTACATTTAAATGAACACAAAAAAACCATATCAAAACCCAACTTTGGTTTTTGTGAACCTAGCTTGATTTGGAGCTCAAATTCTATCAGCAGGATCTGTTTCTTCTGGATTTAGGCTCTATATGGTAGCCCACAGCAATTTCAAGCTCATTCGGTTCCTGTAGGCTAGTAAAGGTGATCAAGGGGCTAAAATACATGCATTGGATTATACTAGATCCCGCCCCCCCCCCGAAACCCAGCTATAGAGGCAGATTAACCTCAATAATTGGGCTAAGAGTAGGGATGTTACAGTTCTACAAAGGGAAAGACAGCCTAGATGTTTGGCATTAAAAAATTAGGGGACTACTACAGGGAGTATGTGTTGACTGAATTTCTCCACTTGAAATATGTCTACAGTGAACAAATATAACAAACTTGAGGGAAGGTCTCGTCTCAAGACTAAAGAGAGATCATAACGCATACTGCAAACTTGATGACATAATGTTTTGAACCATACAGTGAGAAGGCACTAGGCACTGACCCGGCTTGCCTAAGCAAGAAGAAATTCTGAAGGATCTCTTTCACCTGCAAGGTGGAGAAATGAGAATTGGGGATGAGAGAAGAAACAGAAGAAATGGGTAGATCTCTACTTGGGGCCCCTTTTTCCTCAAGGAATAACCATTCTTCACTTCTAATTCATAGGTGGAATGGGGTCAAGATCTGAGAAGAAGACTCCATAGCAGGAAAGTCACAAGAGTATAGCATAGAAAGCAGCTTTGCTGCTGGAATCCAAAGTACAATGTACAAGTAAAAGTACATTGTTATGCTAAACAGAGGGCCTTGGGCCATAGAACATTAGACCGATTTGTTTTCTGAACAGGGAAGTTGATTCATTCCAAGATTGGGGATTGTTCTGAGAAGCCTGGTCAGCTGGCCATCTTAAAATAATGGTTGATACCCTTTTTTTAAATCGCTTCCTACATGCCCAGCACTGTTCTAAGCCCTTTATCTACTTATTTATATTCTCACAACAACCTGTGAGGTAGATAAAATTGACATTTTTGTTCTACAGATAAGAAATGTAAGGTACAGAGTTTAGATTTCTTCAAGTCACACTGCTGGTAAGTTCTAGAGTTGGGATTCAAACCCAGATGACAAGCTGGCAACTGAATCCATGATTTTCACCTAGACCTAAGATGATGCTTTATTGCCTTTCTGTACTATATTGCAGGGAAAGTATACAAAGTTCTTAAAGATTCTAAACAAATTTGGACTTCTGTAATATAAATTCAGGTTTTGTGTTTCTATAGAAGTATAATGACTAAGAAAAAAAGTAAATTGTCTTGAAAGCTGAGGAGGACTATGCTTTGTCTGGATCCTTAGGACATGGCCTCACTAAAATGGCAGAAGAGCTGCAGATCTCAGGGAAACAGTGAGCAGAGTATGAGCTGTTTAGAACCCCAGTGGCTCATTGAGAACAGTCTCTGGCTATGTAGACTTCAGTCATCAACCCAGGTCTTTTTGGGAATGGTGGATGAGAGGACTGTTAACTTATACATAAGTTTTAAATCTGTTCAAGCAAATATAAAAGCTTTAGGCTGAGCATGGTGACTTAATGCCTGCGATCCTAGCACTTTGGAAGACTGATGAAGGAGGATTGCTTAAGGGCAGTAGTTCAAGACCAGCCTGGGCAACAAAGCCAGATCCTATCTCTAAAAATAATTTGTTTAGTTATCCAGGCATGTTGGTACGTACCTATAGTCCCAAATACTTGCAAGACAGAGGTGGAAGGATTACTTGAGCCCAGCAGTGAGCTCAAGCCTAGGTGACAGAGAAAGACCCTATCTCTTTAAAGCAAAACAAAAACAAAACTTAATTTTTGAGGTTTACTATGTACCCACCTAGGAATATTTTGGAGCTGTTACTAATATATTAGCTTACATTTTAAAGTTGATACATTATAAACATTACAGTTGAACTGATTAGTAATACATATAAAAGGCAAACCAAGCTATCTTAGTATACTTGCTCTTGTTATGCATTATATTTAAGATGATGTGTTATAAAAATGAAATAATTTTAAACATTTAACATCTTCCTAATGTAGAAATAAAGCACATGATACAAAGATAAGAGATTTTCTTAAATGGGAGAATATAGGCACAAGTATAACTAACACTGATTGAAATGGAAACCAAATGGGTCACTCATCTATTCCGCGTTTAGTAATAAAATGGAACAAGATCTCTAAAATTCAATAACAAGTTAAAAATGAATCAGCACAAAATATGCTACAGTATTCTACTAATAGATCTAAAGTTTCAATTTTCAAGCTAATGAGAATTAGAAAGTGTTACTTATTTTTCAATTCAGAAAATCCTGTACAGAGATAGATAGTTACATTTGAATTTGTGTACCATGGAGGCAGGACTGCCTATTGAGCTGTCTTACCTAGCAGTGTCTGGGACATAGGAGAAGCTTAATAAATGTTTATTAATGTTGAATACATTATCAAGACTCAACAGAAAATTACTTGATGAGGAATCAAAATTGCACCTTTGAAAAAGAGCTGGCTTGTTCAAGACTGTCCACAGGTGTGTTGCTGAGGTGTTTGGACTTTTTATGGAAGTGAAAGATGGCTTTGCTGTTTTTTGAGATAGCATCTCACTCTGTTGCCCAGGCTGGAGTCTCGAGTAGTTGGAACAACAGGCATGCACCACCATGCCTGGCTAATTTTTGTATTTTTTGTAGAGACAGGGTTTGCCAATTTGCCCAGGCTGGTCTCAAACTCCTGGGCCCAAGGGATCCACCCACCTGAGCTTCCCAAAGTGCTGGGATTATAGGCATGAGCCACAGCACCTGGTGAGCAATTCTGACTCAGTAACAAGCTGAGA